GTAGTATTGCCAAAGTTCAAATTTGCCCAAACAATTTTCACATAAAATCCGTAATTACGCAATAATGGCGTAAAAATGATCAAGGAAAAAATCTTATTTAAATTTACAATACATTTCTTATTGTATTATAGCCGCTTATTTTATTAATAATATTACAAATAAGTCAAATATATCAACATCGTCGTTCTGCTTTTTAACGTGATGCTTATTAACGTTACCGCTACTCATACGTAAACAAAGGAACACGTTATCATCTAATGACGTAAACGGTTATTTATTTACTAATGCGCACGCTCAGAATAACGGATAAAGTAAAACGTGTTGCAATTAAGGCGCCTAACAACTCCCTAATATTTGAATATCTTAGGTATATCAGGATGACATTTGATGTCTAATTCGACGGGAAAAGACACCTGTCAAATATTTTTCCTAAACAATGCAATTATCATTGAGTGATAACACAATGCACTGTGACTCTGTGCAATTACCGCTGTAATTTTTCGATAATTGCACACTGCAAACGGACAGATTATCATACGAAGAAAATATTCGATAACATTTCCAGAAAATATATCGATTGAATCAGTTCAACCTGTTTTTGTTCCACATTTTTATAAATCATTTGCTATTTTTGTCTATAGTAACGGCAACATTGCTTGTCGGTCGTGTCAAGAAAAAAAAATTGGTTAGTGTTGTACACACCTGACAGATTTTGTTTTGATTTTAATTTAGTCAACATTTAAGAGAAATCAACAATTTATTCAAAATGAAACGTGTTAGTGCTTTTAGTGATGAAATGGACACTTCGAACAGCCCAAATTCAAGTAAGTAAAAGATACTCAAAAATTGACTGATATAACATGTTAGCTGTTGTCCAGAAATGAGACAATGGGTGCTCATTAAGTACTATTAGGTGCTTTGGGTGCTTTGGAACCTCCGGTTGTCTTTAGAGTTATATACCAACATGACATAACAAAAATATCCAACGGCTTCAAAGTGACTAAAGATCTGAGAAAGACCAACTAAAACGAGGACAACGTATGCTTATTACATGTCTTTTATGATGTCTTTGCTTATTACCTAGTGTGGAGTAAGTCAAAATAGATATAGTACCACCCGTATTATATATATTTTGGGGGATATTTTGTGTATTGTGTATACATTAGTACCTAGATGCTCATGTACTTCAAGTCTGTCGGATTTTGACGTTCTTTTTAACTTTCCCTTAAAGTACACTTAAAATCAAGCACATTCGGCGGAAAAAATCGGATGGACGGTAAAGAAACAAACTTTTGAAAATCATGTCCAAACGACCCTGCATTTATCATTGAAATGATTGCCCAGTGCTGTATACTGTTAACTCTTGTTTTGAGAACTAACAATCGATGATTCGACATCGACACAAAATTTTGGGGCCTATTTCCAGCGGTGCCAACTTTGAAACTGAAAAATCCGTAAACATTCGTAGGCAAATTGCGCAGGCGCACTGTACTGAGAAGATGCAATTAATTGGGTAGATAATTTCACAAGCCCAGTTAACAAAACACTATTTTAGGTACTCAAGTTATTTATTCAAATACTATGAAGACAACAGGAAAAAAAGTGCTTTTTCATTTTCATATCATTGAGATAATAATGTTATTTGTTAGAGAATTTCGCAAACTTTAAGTTCACGTATGTTGCAATGAAAGCTAGTACTGGGGCGATATTTACTATTAAAATATTTGAAAACAGAATAGAACAGCGTTTAATTAAACCCTCATAATTGTACTCTGTGAATGGCCGGAATTATTGCACCAATCCAATCAGATTGCGCAGTTAGCGCACGTTTCACATAATCTGAAAATARCTCTACTCAATCAATCAATCARAATATGCTTTATTGCCACGGAAAATTTCACAAATTTTATGGACAAGAGATACTGAATAGATTCTGCTCCATATTCCTCATTGACCTCAAGAGCATATCTCTCAGTTATTCTGCGGATATCATCCAGCTTGCCCTCCAGGACTTTAGACCCCATTTAGACTCGATGCTCAACAGTATGTCGTACACTTCCGAAACTGTTGGCACACTGGACGACAGCTTGGAAATCTGGTTTGCCAGCGAATCTATGATCACTTGAGGCACCTAATTTTTCGATAAGTTTGTGATCTTATCGTTGAGGTACCTGAGGTTTGGAGAATCGCAGAGTGCGCAGAAAAATCTGAGGTGGTTGTACTTCTCCAGAATCAGGGTCTTGGTTGCCACTTTATCGAGGCCCGTACACTGCATGCAAAAATACCTGCGACAGTCACCGTTGCATTGAACTAATTGTAAATTAATAATTTATAATTTTTATTTTTAATTACTAATTTATACTTGTTTTTGACGCAAATTCCTTGAGGCAATTATCACACTTGTAAGTGGCCATCTTTAATAAAGTCAATTCCAAATCAAAATTAATTCCTGGGTTTCAGTCATTTATTGTCTCTATTTATCAATTAAAATATGTTTCGGTGTATTTTTCCGCCATCATCAGTTTTTATGTGTAGCGTTGTTGCTACTTTAAGCCTTGGCATACATTTTAAAATGTATGCCTTGGAATTGAAACACAGTCAGGAAAGTATGTACAAAAGTCAATAGGATACATAACGGAATTTAACGAATAGGATTAGAGACGAAAATAACGAGAAGAGAAGAATTGCAATTGCAACAATTGGATATAAAAATTGCACCTCACCCAACCGGGTAGTTGACCGACCGTAAAGTTCGAAGACAAAAAAAACGAAACGTGCAGAGCGGAGCACAACAAAACACAACTGCTCGGTACTACGGTCGAGTCAGCAATGCACTACTTGCCTGTATAATATTTTGGATTTGAAAAAGTTGCGTTGGTGGCTGTTCTCATTGTGCGAAAGTTTTCAGCCGGAAGTCTAGTTTGAAACGAAGAAATTAAACATCCGGAGTTGAAGATAACAGATATTTTCCCTGGACAAAAGTTTCAATGTAAATCCTGTGCGAAACAATTTAAGAAGTCATATATTAGTCATGGACGAAAGTTTCATGAAGATGTTAAAGTACATCGTTTAATAGAATGTTCTTTGTGTGATTTCAATCATTATCTCAAAGATAAAATGTTAGCTCACATGGAGCAAATGCACAATTTAAATCTTATTCCGGAAGTAAAACACTTTAGAAGCAAACACGAATTTTTACAATTCAAACTGAAAACAGAATCTAAATCAAAATGCTTCTTTAGGAAACTAGGGGGAAGCCAGCTCAAGTACGCGACAACTCCAACAACATWAGTAACATCCAGTAGTAAAAAGTAAAAACCCAAATAACAGAGGCCATATATCGACAATCGATTACATTGTGACTAATAGGCAATTTCACACAACTCAAATACTCGAAATCAGAACGCTCAATTCGGCAAATATAGGAAGCGATCATAACCTTTTACCCGGAAGAATTAAATTGAAAATACGAATACCGAAACAACCGAAACCGGTGATGTCAACACAGAAACTCAATATTGAGCTGCGATGGGACCCTCTGATAAAGTACCTATACAAAAATAGAGTACTACAAAAAATCGAAGAAATCCCCATTTTAAATACTGACGACATCAATCCAGCTTGGGAAAGAATCAAGAATTCAGCAAGGGAGTCACTTGGAGAACGAACAATAAAAGTGGATCAAGTAATCAACCACAAGACATCAGGGTTCCGCCCAAAAGTTAGAGAACAGTGCGAAGAGAAGAGAAAAGCCTACCTAAAATATTGTACTATGCGAGCGCCAGAATCATATAATGAATATAAGCAAGTTAGGAACAAAATTAAAGAATTAATGAGAAAAACAAAAAAACGATCACTGGGAAATGTTCTCCAAACGCCTGGAAGGAGATATCTACGGGCTTCAACTGCAGATATGGCGATTCATAAGATCGCACAGACAGGAGGTCAATGAACTGCTAGAACCAACCCACATAAAAAAGGAAGAGTGGATCGGATATTTAACCGATCTGTATACGACAAACACGGCCGACGAGCCTACCACACCAGAAATAACTATTAACTTAACGAAGATGCCACGATCAATACATCCGAAGTAGAAAGCGCACTACAGAAACTAAGAAGTAGAAAAAGCGCCAGGCTAAGACGGTATACAAAATCAATTGCTCAAATACGGTGGGCAGAGACTAACAGAATAATTAACAACTTTAATATAGAAAATTATATATCAACACAAATTCCCAGGAAATATTCTACACCTTCATGGCCTAGATTACAGATAAGAAGACCGCATAATAAGAGATCTGAATAGGAACGGCAAAACGCGAATCAAAGTTAACCAGAAACTAACACAAGAAGTATATTTAAAAACAGGAATACGGCAGGGTGACAGTTTAAGCCCACACATTTCAATATAATAATGAACTAGATTATCGAGGATGTTAAACGAGAGGGAGTAGGATATCGAATGGCCCATAAATCTTTAAAGACATTGTGTTATGCACATGATGCCGCATTCACATCAGAAAGTGAAGATCACCTGCAACGGTTACTATTTAGATTTAAACAAACGGCAGAACATTTAGAAATGTTTTCCGGGCTTTGAAGCCGTGGTCTATCGGAATTTCTTCCTGACGTTTCGTCCACAACTG